GGATAATGTGTGTACGCCTCTACTAGGAGTCACTGCTAGCGAGTTGAAGGTGAAATATTCTAAGGCTAGTGAAATCACCACTTTGTTTTTTACAATGGTAATAATTTTATCAGTTTTATAATTTATACTTTAATGTTTATTTAATTCACATAGGAGGATTGTATGCCCAATAGATTCAAGAATTGATTGGAAAGATAATGAAATTCAAGATAGTCACACGATAGGAACAATTCAATTATAGATGAAATGTTGCTTTTACTGTTCTAGGAGTGGAAAATGGTGAGAAAGTATGTACTTCAGTCAATAAAGGAGAACAAGGAAGTGTGGTACTGTGGTTAGGAAGCTTGCTGATGGAAAAGAGTTCAATGAAAATTTTGAACAAGTTTGTACTATCTTAACATATTTTTATACAGTGTTTTAAATGTTTTTAATGCTAATGATTTTAATTATTTTCCAACCAGGGGATTGAACCACTGCAATCTATATCATTGTCTAATCCAGAGTTGATCTCTCTTTATGAAAGCACTCCTGAGCAGCAGTCTTTGAAGAGAATAAATATGGATTGTTCATCATCTTCAAAGACTTTAAAGAAGCCTAAGAATGAACCAAATCCATGATACTCTATGTTGACTTGCTGTTGTCTAATCATAAACAATATAAATTTTAGTTGCTCATTTTAGTTGGTGATTTGTTTTGTTTTTAATATACTAAATGCTAAACAGATGGTTTATTCTGTTAGCTTTTAGTTGGTGATTATTGTTTTTAAAGTCAACTGTGCCTGTATGGCAAATTAGTTTTTATTTCAGACTACATTATGATTCTTAATTTTTACACTTTGTTCTTCTAATACTATTCGTGAAAATATTATTCAATGCTATATTACCATGGAACAAAGGTAACAGAACAACTTACCTTCTAATTATGAGTTGTCTTTCATGATCCAGATTTCAAGTTCATATCCATTACAGGGTGGTCCATTTAATGATTATGGACTCTCATCAACCATATCTGCGTTAACATTTCAATGAACGGGTACACCATTCATGAGTTGGGGCTATTGATAAAAGGTATTTTTTAGTGCACTATTAAAGTAATGGTTTTACTTAGCAAACAAAACTGCAGATGAGAAGCACAATTAAATGAAAATATGCATGTCAAATCAAGATAGTTGAGACTACAAATAAAAGGTATTTACTACTCACCATTGAAATTATGCAGGCTATTTGACTTCCAAAACCCATTCTGGCTCTATTGAAAAATAAAATCATTTACGAAAGATAGCATGAAGGTAAAACTAATAATAATAGCCACTTTTCAAGTTTGAGGTAGAGATGTAACCAAAAGGTTATGAGTAATACTGTGTAGAGTGCATTCAAAAATTCACATCACTCAAATTACTTTATTAATGTAAGATAAGCAATTTGTACCTCATCATGAAAATGCAAGTCCTTGGGAAATAAGGATGAAAATGAGAGCAAACCATTACAGAAGAGTGGCGAATCTTAGTACATGAAGCTAAGTCCAATTCTTTGTAATATCTGAACTGATCGAGTTGAAATTAAAAAGGTGAAATTAGGGCATTTAGCTCTATTCCGTATACTCCATTTATATTTAAATTAAATTATTAAAATGTTATAAACATAAAAAGATATAGATTAATAAATAAAAAATGAATTAGTAAATTCTAATTTATATATATTCAAATTAAAATATTATAAACATAAATAAAGATAGATTACTAAATAAAAAAATTAATTAATAAATTCTAAGATATATATATATTAAAATGTTATAAACACAACTATACATATAGATTAACAAATAAAGAAATGAATTTAAAAATTCTAATATATATATACACACACACACACACGTACGTATGACGAAATGTTGTAATTTTGTTGTTGTATAATTTTTTACAATGACATTTATGGATGTGTAAATTTGAGTTATAATTTGGACATTTGGTTAAGCACTTGAACCAAAACATTTAGGTCAAATGTTATTAAATAAAAAAAAAATTAAATTTCATTTATGGTTAAAGTTTTTACAAACTTACAGTAAACGGTTTTTTCAGTTAGAAAATATATGTTAGACGAATTAACTAAACAATTAACTCAAATTGTCGTAATATATTATAAGCAATTCAATATCTATATCGATGTTTCAACTTTATAATTTATACTTTTATATTTGTAATGGGGGAGTGTTATGTTGTGGAATCGTGTCCACCTTGCAAGGTGAGCACGGTTCGAGATTCCTAATTTGTATACCGTAAATTCATAATTTCTATACTCTAGATTCATAATTTATAATTCCCGTAGATTCATAATTTCTAAACCGTATATTCATATAATTTCAATATAGTAAATTCATAATTTATATACAGTAGATTCATAATTTGTATATTGCCGGATCATTATATCTGTTCCGTAGATTCATAATTTAAGTACTGCAGATTCATAATTTCTGAACTGTATAGTTATCAAATTATGAACATATAGTTCTGTCATTTGTGAATACAGAGTTCAACAATTGGAATATGAACATAAAAAATTATGAACAATTTTGTTTTAATTAGAACGGATTCGTTTTCAACAAAAACAATGCCGTTGTGAAACTGTGTCCACATTGCAAGGTGTACACGTTTCTACGACATAATTTACCTCTAATGGTGGTATGATATTTTGTTTGAAAATTTTCTTATGAACTTATTACTATAAGCAAATATTTGAATATGATTTATTATTATAGATTTTATTTTACAAATTTAAAACTTCACTTCACAGAATTTGAGTTAATCAATTAATTGATTAATTGATTGGAGATACAACTTGTGTTTTAGTTAACCAATCACTACTTTTAATATTTAAGTGGGAATAGCTTACTGCTTCCTAAAAACTTTTAAACTTTCGGAGACTATTGCATTAGGATAAACCATTGTTATTGGTGTATATGTAATGAAAAAATGTAACATACAATGCTTAATTAATAAATATGTAAATAATTTATACTATTCAATTTTTGGTACTAAACAATCTTATTTGTCTTTATTGTCATCATTACTCATTCCTTCACAATAATTTAAACTTTATCAATTTAGTTTTTTTTAGAAAACGAGTCGTTGTGTAATCAGCATAATACACAAGCATCGTTGTTGCGATCAAATATATCGGTTGATAATGCCCAACCATCATTACAACCAACTATTGGTGCACCAGCAGTTAGACTAGTTACTCCAACAATGACTAGTAAATATAATTTTTTTATCACAGCCATTAGTAACTATTTTATTGGATCATTTTTAAATTTCCTAACTTCATATAAATAATTGCAATGGCAGGTAGTGAACTATTGTACGGCGGATTTATGATTTCCTCTCGAAGAACACCTATTAATATGTCGAGCAATGGTATTAAATTTTACCGTTCACATTATTCGTAATAACTTTTACATTTTAATAAATACATATTCAGTTTTTTTATCCTTACAAATAACATGTTCATATTAATTATCATGCATTTATTTGTTATTATTATTTCCAAAATTATTACAATTCAGAGTACCATTCATACTTCTGTCTTAGTTGAATCTATTCTATGAGAATGATTTAAACACTTATATTTCTCCGTATTTTTGTTTTTTTTTTTTTGTTTTTTTTTTTGTTTTTTTTTTTGCAATAGTTAATGTTCATCAAAGTTTGGTCGAAGATAATCATGTGGCCACCAGAGGAACACCATTGAGTGCAAACACAAATGGTATTTTTATAGTCAAAATATCATTTTATCCTCCAATACTAAACAATTTTTAATATCATTTTATTTAATTAATCATTGTTTGAATTTTACGCGTTAAATCTATTTGCAGTTGCTACCAACCCAAATATATACGCATGGAACAATGATATTCGATCGGCCACACCCTTCACTATCTCAACAGATGGTAACATTTTCGTATATTAAATATCTATCTATTTCTTTGTTGATGTATATGTTCAGTTTTAGGTTATATATATGTTTCAATTAACACATAATATACATATACTATTAATCTCATGTTAAATATGTTTTGATATAAAATTTGCAGTTCATATGCGCAACATGTCTCCGCCGTCCACTCTACATTCTTTTAATATGTCAAATATGTCAACTTCAACGTCTTTATCACGCCAACCATTAATTGATGTATCAAATGGTAATTTTTATTACACTATTCACTATTTGTTCCATCTTTATTTTTTTTTTATTATAAGGAAGGGGGATACCCTACATATACACACTACTTGCCTCAACCGAGGTTCAAACCCATCACCTCCCACCTAGGGGAGCAACCCGATACCAGTGGCTACAAGCCACTTGGTTGTTCCATTTTTATTAGTGTTATTCTGTTGCCACAACTTTTTAACATTATTATAACAATAAATAACAATTTATTATATTTTATCCAGTGCAAAGACCATCACATCCTCAATCTAATTGTGCTTTGCGCACTAGTACAGATCTGCACATCCGCTACCCTTGTAAAGGGTTATCCGCTACCCTTGTACAAGGGTAGCGGATACTAGGGTCGCTGAAAACCTTGAGTTTTCCGCTACCCTTTAACAAGGGTAGCAGAAAGTTAAGCACCCGCTACCCTTCTATTATAGAAGGGTGGCAGATTCTCTTTATTTTTTAAAGCATCCACTACCCTTCTTTAAACAGAAGGGTAGCGGATTTGTTTTTTTAAATTAAAAAAAAATTCATTATTATATTTAAATTTCCTAATTCTTTCAAAATCCTATACAGAATTCATACACTACATATCAACATAATATTAACCATCAACACAATTTTATCAACAAACCATCAAAACACAATATTATCAACATACTATATTATAAATACAATATTATCAATACGCAAGCTCATACATGCTGATGGCTACAGCGTTAATCCATCCTTAATGAGTATACCTGCCTAACGTTCTGTCTTTGATATTTATATGAGCTAATAACTTAATGAACTTGAAAAGCTACATTGCGATGTCTCCAAGCTTCTTCTAATGTCCCCACCATATCTTTTGGCATGGCTATAGTGTATGTTATGATGAGATTCAGTTACAACATCAAAGTCTGGGACCTATCAAGGTAATGATCTATTATTAGTAAATTTGTGATTGAAGCTGAAAGGAGAAAGCATTTGCATAATGACCTAAGAAAGAACTGATCAAGAAAGTCTATTGAACAAAATAAAACACTCCATAAAAACTAGCACTTACATTATTTGTCTTACCTTTAACTCTTTTGACCTGGCTTTCTTTGATAGTGCCCTTATGCAAATGCAAACTTTCCGAACATTTCTTTTTTCAACATCTGATGGGGAGAAGAGATCGATAACATTCAATCCCAAAATTTTGCTGATCTACACGAACAGGGGAACTAGTAACATTCACCACCACAACTTATTATCATTGAAAGATTAAAGTGAAAAAGAGCCATTTACTTTCATGCTACTGTGAAAAAGAGCCATTTACTTTCATTGCATTCATTATGCTTTCCAAAAAGAAATCTAATAACTAAACTTATAGACTCACTTTGATGAAGGATGAAAGACTGAGGCAGCAAACCATCCTTGTGTGCATCCGATAAGATTATGAGTATTGACTGTCTCCCATAAGATATTGTAAAGCTCTAGTAAATGCTCTGCAAACAAGTATTACCAGGTCAGGATTTTCTAGTCACTCACCACAGTGATTTTGCATGAATTTATTTTCAAACCAAAAGTATAGAAGAAGAAACATATATGATTAAACATCAACCAGGCAAATCGTTCAACTGTTCAAGCTCAAGTACTATGTCCAATTCCAATAATCTTAACACCAGATAGCAGAGTTTGCAAAAAGTTCCAACAATTACAAATCAAGACCACAAATTTCAGCAGAAAAGATCACAAATGAGAGCCCTAAATTCTGCGGAACTTAATAATCGCACGATTAAAACACTAAGAACACGATTAAAGTGCGTGCTTTTGCGCATGGCATAAGATTCAAAGATGAGTAAAACGTAGTACAACTGCCAAAATTCAAAATCTGTTAGATATAGAATTTTATATACATTCATTAACCAACATCAATTAAAATATGTTAGTGAGAAAAAAATCATTTAGAATTGTTACCTCATCCAAACCTTCCTCTATTTCTTTAATTAGGCTGCGTTCAAGCTGTGAGGTTAGGTCCTTATCCTGATTATCCATCAAATAAGGACAATGGGCATCCACCATGCTATGGTCATTTACGATTTTCATAACAGCAAAAAAATGCCTTGCAAATATCATGTTGGCCAGAACCCATTCTGAAAAATACTTGGTGAGCAACCTACTAACATGACTCAATCAAGAAAAAAAAAAAAAAAAGCAAGAAGGCACTGAGCATTCAAGAAGTAGAACAAAGAGAATAAGAAGAAAATTAAATAACTCTGCGGGTGAACTAAGAGCTATTGCTACCTCCTGCTTCTTTACTCTAACAAATCACTATCTCACATTAGTTGAATCAAACTATGACAACAATTCACAAGAAGTAGAAAGCTCATATAACATATAGCAAGGGAAACACATAAACAATAAACAAAGTAGTTGAAAATTGTACTCCTCCATTAGTTGAAATATTGATTATTATGACCTTGGCTACCAACAAGAATTCTTACTCTCTCTTACTATCTCATATTCTCACCAGGAGATCTACCAACAAAGTAATGAATTTGATTGCAACAAGGAGATCTGTCTGCACGCATCAGGAAAGAAAAGGAAAAAAAAAATCAACTAATTAACTGCAGCAGATAAATCTTGCAAAACACTCACAGCAGAAATAAAGAGCTTTCATAACCAAAAGCAGACAATATTTTGTTGACATTCAAAGCCTAAATCTGACAGAGTAACCTGCCGGCATAAGAAAGCAGGAATTTGAATTACATCAGCAACCTTCCCTACTGGTGGGGAAAAAAAGCATATTGCATTGTGAAAAGAAATATTCATCCATACCTTCAAGCCTTCAAAGTCAGGACCACAGAATGATTTGGAGGAAGTTCGGTTAACTTTATCAAAGCTAGACTTAAATACAAACTTCAAACCAAGTCTATATATAGTACATAAAGATTAAAAACCATATTTATCAAATATTACTAAAAAAGATTAAGGAATGTAAATATGCAGGAAACAATGAACACCCATATCAAGCAGTAACATTTGAGGATGTGATATAGTTTAGAAAGCCTAAAACATTAACAAATTACAAATACATTAACATAAATCACACCATTAGCCATGGTTCACCAAGCAAGGTGTATCGCAAGCATATAGTGATAGTGTTTTTCCTAAATGTTTGTCAAATTAGTGCTGGACATTCTGAAATTTTTAAATTAATTATATATATCTAACTCATCAAAATAAACCTAATCTATCAAAACACTTAACCCATCAAATTATATATATTCTTAGCACATCAAATTCAATCTATTCATCAAATAACGTATTTATCATAAACAATTTATCAAAATACCTGTTTCACACTTTCACACAAAATTTATTAAAATTCAAAATTAAATAATTAAAATGTCAAAATTCAAAATAAAATGATAATAATCAAAATTCATGACCAAAATTCATACTTCTACTCATATTATGCCAAAATCCCAACAAAAATAACAACTAAATTCATATTTTTACACATATTAGGGTAGAACAACAAAAATAACAACAAATAACTAAAAATTCGAAATAAAAATTATAAAATTAACAAATATAATATATATTACAATGATAATTATAAAAAATAATTTTAACAAAAAAAAAATAAAATTACCTGCACGTACAGTTCGGCGGACCAACTGCCGACGGTGGAAGTCACACAAGCAGTCGCGGCTGCGGCTGAAGAGAACTGTGGCGGTGGCGGCGTCGTGGGTGGCTGATGAGAAAGGTGTTGGAGTCCTTAGCTTGGTGGCGACGGTGGATTTTGATCGAGGCTGAGAGAGTCGTGGTGAGAGAGGCGGTGTCAGCGGCGTTGTAAGAGGATGAGAGAGGCGGTGTCGACGGCGGAGGTGTGATCTGTGGTGAGGAGCGCAGCGACGGCGGGGGAAGGAAGAGGCGTTGATGAGGCGTTATCGACGGCAGAGGTCTGTGATGAGGCGTTGAGGAGAGGTGAGATCTGAGAGATGCACAACTAGGTCTAAGACTCTAAGAGCGAGATGTGATTTATTTTTTGTGATCTTTTTTGTTATTTATTTTTTAAAATATTTGTTTCCAAATCTAGTTTCCACTGCCCTTTCTACAAGCAAGGGAAGTTGAAAGTATATCCCCTTGGAAAATAGCTACCTTTTTTAAAGAAGGGTAGCGGTTTCTTATTCATTTATTTACAAGTATGTCACCGTCCCTTTCTTTTTTAGCAATACACTACCCTTGTTTAAAGAAGGGTAGCCTAATGTCATATTTCTTTGCTCCATTTTGTACTAGTGGCGATCAGTTCTGAGAACTTCCAATACAATATCGTCAAGAACAAATGCAAGGAGTTTAAATATGGAATTCGAACATTTCGTATGTGAAAACAACAAATATGGTAATTTTTTATAAACTCACAAATCGTAGTATTTTTCATTTTTATGAATTCACAAATCTTTTATGTTCATCTTTGTTAATTGTTAACTATTTATGTAATTATTTTCCTATTTGGAGCTTGGAGATGCTACTCATTCCTGTAATTATTGTGGTGCCTTATTCTGGCGACATGAGCGCTCAAATCAAAATGTTACGCGAGGATTTCCAAAATACACAAAGTGTTGCTACGAGGGTAAGATACAATTACCTCGCATGAAGGATCCACATCCTGTTCTCCAAAGCCTATACTTTGACGATAATGAACATAGCAGACACTTCCTCAATAATATTCGAAGATATAACAACATGTTCTGCTTCACGTCTCTGGGAGGTAGAGTCGATAGGTCAATCAACACCGGTAACGGTCCTCCGATTTTTAGGATAAGTGGTCAAAATTATCATTGGATTGGAAGCTTGGTTCCAGGAGAAGGTTCCATGCTAAAGTTTACACAGTTATATATTTACAGCACAGATAATGAGATTAATAATCGCATCAATTCTGTTACGCAAGTATCCAAATATGTTATACCTTTTGTTTCGCTTACACCAACAATGACATCTATTGTTTATTTACATCCGTTTGTTTCCTATGCAGAAGAGATGTTAACTTAGGGGATATCCACGAAAATATTGTTGAGGAATTAAAGAACATGCTGGACGGAAATAATGTTTTAGTAAAATGTTTCAGAATGGCAAGAACTGAAATTCAGTCTAATCCAATTGTTGAGGTTAAAATGAATTTAATCAGCAGGCGGAATAAAGATGGAAGGACATACAATTTACCTACCGCTAATGATGTGGCTGCACTTATTGTCGGGGACCTTGACCCATCGATGGGTGATCTAAATATATTGATCGAGAACCAAACTGGACAGTTGAAGAGAATAAATCATTTGAACCCTGCATATTTGCCCCTACAGTATCCTTTGTTGTTCCCATATGGCGAAGATGGTTATCGTGAAGATATTACATTTTCTAATGCATGACGCCAAGGACATCATGGTGGTAGAAAAAGAATTAGCCCTAAAGAGTATTTCTCATTCTATATACATGAGAAGGTAAATGAGAAGCATAAATTGTTATGCTTTAGGAGGTTATTTCAACAATACTTGGTTGATGCATATACAATGATCGAACATGCACGTTTGACCTACATTAGAACTCATCAGAAGGCGTTGCGTTGTGAAGCTTATCAGGGGTTGAGTGATGCATTAACAAGGGGCAAATTAGATCCTACAACTCGGGGTAAAAGAATTATACTACCATCATCATTCACAAGCTTTCACCCAAAAAAAAAAAAAAATCACCATTCACAGGCGGAGCTAGGTATATGATTCAAAACTATCGAGATACAATGGCAATATGCAGGCACATTGGTTATCCTCATCTATTCATTACATTCACATGCAACCTGAAGTGGCCTGAGATTGAGCGGTATGTTGCACAACGTGGGCTTAAAGCAGAGGATAGACCCGATATTGTTTGTCGCGTGTTTAAGATGAAACTTGATGATATGATTGAAGAGATCAAGACAGAAAAACTGTTCGGCGACATATGTGGAGGTATTTAATTATCATACATACTTTAATGTGCCCTAATTAATTCTAAAATCCATGTATAAAATTAACTTTTTTTTTTAATTTTAATTTCCTGCACAGTTATCTACACAATTGAATTTCAAAAAGGATAACCCCCTCACGTGCACATATTGCTATTTGCCAAAAGAATGAATCAGGCACATTCTGCACAGGAAATTGATGCCTTGATTTTTGCTGAGATTCCAAACCCAGATGCTGACAACGAGTACACTGACGCAGTTAGCGAATTTATGTTGAACGGACTGTGCGGACAACTCCGGAAGAACTCGCCATGCATGGTAAATGGTAAATGTTCAAAGTATTTTCCCAAAAATATGTTAGTCAGATGATTCTGGATAAAGATGGTTACCCAATCTACAGAAGGCATGATAATAGACGCACAATCAGTAGGAATGAAATCCAACTTGATAACCGTTATGTTGTCCCGCATAATAAACATCTGCTTCTAAAATATCGCGCTCATATTAACATTGAATGGTGCAACCAGTCGAGATCGATCAAATATTTATTCAAATACGTCAATAAAGGAAATGATCGAGTCACGGCAGAGTTCATGAGTAATTCTACTAATGCAGTCAGTGGTGATGTGGTCGATGAGATTAACATGTACTACGATTGTTGCTATATATCAGCA